TATAGTGAGGGTCCTGAAGGGGGAGGGGTGCAAGTGGCGGACATTTTATGAAATATTGGGGGGGGGGGAGGCTCGTGCCGAAGGCACGGAAATTTTTTAAATTTGAATCCCGGAAATGGCATTTGCATCATTCTGAGACACGCATAATCAGAAAACCCCAAATTCCTGTCGGCATCCATTTTGCAGCCCTCGAAAAGTCAAAATCTCGGCATTTCTTAAAATCTGTTCCACGTCTTGGAGCACTATTAATCACGCATTTAATTTACGAATCATTGAAATCGGAATATAACTGGAACGTTACCTCCAGCCGGAAAATTCGAAAGTTGGAGCCAAATTTTAACTCCAGACGCGCGAAATTTGATCTTCAAACATCTAACGTATGATACACAATACACAATACCCGTCATTTTTTAAACCTTACACCGTAAAAAATTTGCATTGCTGCATGTGTGGTTTCTTTGATGCATGCTATTCGTGATATTCGGTTTGAATTCAATTATTCAGGAGGTCAATTTTGGTTTCTTCAGTGGTTATCTTTAGCCAATCCAGTTTTGCCGACTGGGATAACAATTTGCCGATTTAACAATACTCAATAATAGCTCCAAAAATAAAAGCAAACATAGTTTAAAAATAGCTATTTTATAGCTATTTTGAACCAAAGTTTGCCACAACTTTCTATGAATAGGAATTAAATAGCTATTTAAGATCTATTTATTTTGCTATTTAATAAATGTGTTAAGAATGGCTCCAAAAAGATAAGCAAAAATAGTTTAAAAATAGCTATCTAAAACTATTTTAACTGACTCGTTTGTCATCAATAGGAATTAAATAGCTATTTAAAAGCTATTTTATAGAGAGATTTCGTCAAATACTCTTTCAAATAGGATTTGAATACCTATTTAAAAGCTATTTTTTTGAAAAATATAAATAACATATATTTTAAATAGAGTGTAAATAGTCATATCCTATTTTATGAAATTTGATAAATAGTAATAAAATAGTCATATTTTTTAAAAAATACGGAAAAAATGGGGCTAAATAGAGAAAACATAGGTATAAAATAGGTTATAAATATGTCGGATTCTACAAGGGGGGTGTTCCACCCGCGCCGTCCCGGAGTCTAGTATTTTATCGATAAATAGTTGAAGTGAACATACATGACAAGTAGCTTTTATCAATCGTGTATAACACTTTCCGTGTCTGGGTCAACAATCTAGCTTTAATTTTCTATCAAGGTTTTGCCAAGTTGCGCCATTCTTATGATTAGACTGATGAATTCGAGAAACAAAAAAGAAAAATTATACTTTTTAGCGACGAAATATGTAAACAGACCGAGCGAACAATTTGCTAAATGTTGACAGTAAAATAAATGTACAATCTTATATAAAAACAAATAAAATTTAAACTCTAACGAATATGAAAACTCATTTGGCCTATATGTAGAAAAATTTACTTCAAACTTACCATAATACTGGCTTCTTTTGGCTCTTAAAAAACTCAAAACAAGTAAACAACTCTGAGCCTTCGGGATTTCCTCCGCAAACTACGTCACAATGCTGCTGAGTCAACCTTTTTATAAAGGTCTATTATACGTATCAAATGTATGATTTAGAGCGAAATTTTGAATTAAAGCTAACGCGGGTTAGTTACAGTTTTCAACTATACGCTTTGGAGCGACATTTTAATATTGAACAATATATGTTCGTGTTGAATGTGTTGTGATTGTCGCGTATAGCTGTAAACAATTGAATCTGAGAACAATATTTTGCGTTGATATTGAGACAGTGTTTGCTAAAGATGTCTGACAAGGAAGTTAATATAGAATCTCACAGTGATGAAATGTCAGAACCGCGTACAAGGATCCTAGACCTAACGATCAGGCGAGTGATTTGGGATATAAATCTGAGAAAATATAGCTACCAACTAGCGAAAAGTCGTGCGGGTTATATTGGCGTAATTACGAAAGTTTATAAAGAAATTTCCGATATGATTGCTTACAATAAGTGTAATGTGGGGTACATTTCGTTGAAATTGAATAAGTTTGACCATGCATAATAAAATAAATGGATAGGAAACTAGCTGACGTGACCTAATGTTTTCAAAGAGCTGATGGCGTGATTGGATGTTGAAACCAAGTTGCAAACCAAATTCTCAAAAACGGCATGTTTAGCAATAATACAGCTAAACATTTTAGTCAAAAAACAAATGAATGTAACTACAGCATTCTACGATGAAATCTCTAAGTATTCCCAGTCAATTTTAGCAAATATTTCAAGAACTAAACAGTGAAAAATGCATCCCAAACTTCGTTAAAATTGGGAACGCCAATTTCGTAGCTACAAATGTAAAAAAATACAAAACAAAGACGAAAAACATTTACCTTGAATACTTTGTCGTGGCTTAGGCATGTTTTTAAAACAATTAGACCAGTTTATGCTTCAATATTACTCTTTTAAAGCGGAAAGTATAGCGAAACAACAAAAATGCCGAGAACTTTGCAATACGCGTGACGTCACAGATTGCAAACAGGTTGTTTTTGCTTACGTCAGCTAAAGTCCTATCCATTTATTTTATTATCCATGGTTTGACCAAACTTGGTGCGAATTTGTCGGAGTACATGAGAAATATTTCGTTTTAATAGAGCATGAGACTGAGAAAGAAAGTGATTGTGTTAGCTACGAAGAACAAAGAAAACGCAAATTGAATCTCGATGCCATGGTAACAGAATGGCGTCAGAAGGCGTAAATAGAATTGCATGATGAAACCGGAAGTAGAAACGCTAAATCTAATCATTCCAAGAGCATGAGAAGCGAGGCCTCCAGTTCGAAGGCATAAGAAAAAGGGAAGAAATGGCGCTAGCGCGTCTGAAGGTAGAGCAGTTGAAGATTCGGCAACAATTTGAGATCCCGGAACAGCAAGTTAGGAGGAAAAGGAAATTAGCAGAAGCAGAAATGGAAGCTAATATGGCGGTGGTCTCCCATGAAATATTCCAGGAAAACGAGGGTAATATGTCAGAGAGTAAGGAGCTAGGAAAATACATTTCACCGTATGATGTACAGGACACTAATGAGCCCATTGAGCTAGTTTTAATGAAGGAGAAGGAGAGTAAACAAAGTTACAAAAGCGAAAGACAATCATGTGAAGTTCTAGCCGAAAGGGGATTCCAGCACAAGGGATTTAGAAATGCGAGCGAAATACATGAATCGAACAGTAAAAAACCCTAGTTCAAGAAGGACAATCGCAACCGTCCTAACGATATCAAGGGCTGCCAATGTTGGACCACAATTCTGCTTCTGAACTTAGAGAAACAGGAACTTTACCGTTTGGCTTACCAGCTGCGAGATCCCAGGAACTATTACCAAGTTTAGCAGCGAGGGCAACAGTTACAAATGGAAGCGAGAATAGGGAGAATCCTGACACTTTATTACAGTGTGCGAGCCAACCAACAACGAATGGAGGCTTGCCTCGCCCCTATCCACCACCCTTGGCGGCGACCACAGGCTCACATTATCCGCATCAAATTAATTTGAACGACTCAAACACCCCTACCCATCAACAAGGATACGCACTACCCACTGAAAATAATCAACAAATCGGTGATTATACTGGAAAACCCGAATATCTCCTACGGATGAAATTGCACGAGCTCTTCGTCAAGTTGTGAATATGCCTAAGATTGAATATCTGCGTTTTTAATGGTTATCCGTTAAAGTTAATTGGGAGCATTCATGCACAATTTCAAAAATTGTTTGGAAAGAGATGATCCAGACGACTCAAGAAAATTACAGCTGTTGATACAGCACTGCACTGGAAAGGCAAGGGAGGCTATCGAGAGCTGTGTAAATCTAGCAGCTAGTGATGGGTACCGGGTAGCAAAGGAGACCCTTCGTGAGCATTTTGGGAAGCCTCATGTTATCGCCATGGCTCATATCAAGAAACTAGTGGACTTACCTAGCCTTAAGTCTGGAGATGGTCAGTCCTTGTTGGAATTATCGAGACATTTAAATACAGCTGAAACGAACCTAAAGGGATTGCGTGCGTCGTATACATCAGATTTAAATCATACGAATACGTTGAGAGAGCTAGCGAAGAAACTACCCATGTATCTCAGAGCTAGGTAGACTGAAAAGGCTGGGAGTATCATCGAAGAAGGTAGAAAACCAGAGTTTAGAGACTTTCAGAAGTTTTTCCAGCTAAGAGCGAAGTTGGTAAACAATGAATTTGGAACGGACATGGCGGTTAGTACGAGAAAAAAAGGTAATAGAAGCGAGGGGACCTGGAAATGAAGAGACGAAAACAATAAAAATAATGGAATATCGTCATTTGCAGCTGGATCGAATGGTGACAAAGTGAATAGAGGTAGACAACCATTGAGTTGCGAAGCTTGGTTTGGGCCGCATCGTGTATGGAGATGTGATAGTTCAAGAAAATGGAACTGAATGAAAGGCAAAAAATAGTTCTGCAAAGGGGACTGTGCAAAAAATGTTTAGTTAGGGTATATATATATATATATATATATATATATATATATATATATATATATATATATATATATATATATATATATATATATAT